ATTGGCAAGGCAGCCGGACGGGCGACTCCCGAAACGACTGATGTTCGGCGAACTAGCAGGGGGGGAGAAGCGACGTAGGGGGGGACAGGAACAGAACTGGCCGAAGTGTGTGCTTGACGACCTGAAGGCATTCGGGGCCGACCACGGATCTACGAAAGCCGATCCATGTTGTTTCAGAATCCCGGTACCGAAAGACACGGCACCGACGTTAAAGTGAACGGAAGCCGCGAAGGTAGAGGGGGGAGTATCCTGGCATGCAGCGGTGCTGCAGGGAGCTGAGAGGTTCATGACCTCCTGGCACGAGAAGGAAGAAGAGGCCAGCCGACAACGGGCGCTCAAACGAAACCACAAGCCACCAACCAATGGGGCGGGAGGGCGGCAGGAGACGGACGAGACGGCGAGGGAAAAAAGCAAACGAGAAGAGACGGACCGAGTGGCGCGATACGTGCCGGATTGAATTTCTTTTAGCCAATTTTCCCCCCCCCAACACTGCACCATTGCACCAACCCCCCACTAGTGATGACGTACCATTACAATGTATCGCTGGTTGGTGGCCATGTTTGCGTGTTTGCTTGTCGTTAGTGGTCTCTCCACCGTGTGCCTTTTTCTGTCTCTTATTTCTTGTTATTTTCGGCCTGGTCCCTTTTTGTCCTCGCTCTTTTTATTTCATTTTCTCTTTCCTTACTGTTTCCATATATTTTTCTTCTCTTTTCTCTTGTTCTGTTTTCTCTCTTTTTCTGTCCCACATGTCCTTGTTTCTGCTTGCGTTGTGAAGTACCAACATTGAACCAAGGGGGTGTACCTCATTCTCTCCGGCCCGTGATGGTGACCCCTAGTCTTAGTTGTTACCTCGCATAGCGCGCCAAGGGAGTGGAGGACTCCAGAATATCTGTCGTTGATTTCTATTGTCTTGCGGACCCCTCGGGGCCATANGGGTGTACCTCATTCTCTCCGGCCCGTGATGGTGACCCCTAGTCTTAGTTGTTACCTCGCATAGCGCGCCAAGGGAGTGGAGGACTCCAGAATATCTGTCGTTGATTTCTATTGTCTTGCGGACCCCTCGGGGCCATATTATTTGAGTGTGCCTTTTTAGGGTAAGTTAGCCTGCGACCACGGGAATCGACCGCGTCGAGTGTTGTATCAGTACGGACATACGAAGGTACTGGGTAGAGAGAGATCGGAACGGTTTTTAATGTGAAGACAACAACAACAACAACACCAACAACAACAAGGCTGACTCTTATGGCTCCCGGAAGTTGGCCACGGAACGTTTTTTTTTTTTTCTTAATATCTCACAACAACTTCATCTCTATCTATCTATAGAAACAAGTCTAAGATAGATTAGCAATGCATACATAGCGTGAGCGAAAGGCTACCTGTATGTCCACGGTTTCCCAGACAGCATACAACGATAAGTCCCCTGTGGGTAACAGGCTCAAAAAGGCAGTTTGGTAGTCATCTTGTTGTGCATGTATCTATTTGTATGTTATGTTGGGAAGTTGTAGACAGAAGATTTAGGGGAACTCGGTTTGTCGGGTGTTCTATTATTGTACCCTTAGATATGTTGTTGCGGAGCAAGCGCGTCTCGGGGTGTGCATATTTTCGTCATCAACTTATTTTTTGTGTGTGATGTGTGGGGGCATGTGCGGCGCGGGAGAACATATTTACCTTGCTGTAATGGCATGTTGTATGTCGTTCAATGTGAGCAGGGCACGGGAGAACAATATCTCATCATTGCCTCCTGGCGTGGCCTCCGATAGAGGCGTGCGTGTGGTTGGGGTTTCATCACGGACATGTATGTGTGTGTGTGTTAAATGCAGTGGATATGGTCGCCTCTCTCGCCCGTGTGTCGGCAGAAGGTATAGCTACCTTTCCCATTTATTTGTAGGCAGCGCGGACCACAAGTAAAGACAGAGTGTATCATTTTATACATCTACATGATTTGTAGTTGTTGTTGTTGTTGTTGTTGTTGTTGTTGTTGTCTTCACATTCAAAACCGTTCCGATCTCTCTCTATCTACCCAGTACCTTCGTATGTCCGTACTGACCCAACACTCGACGCCNGCGTGTGGTTGGGGTTTCATCACGGACATGTATGTGTGTGTGTGTTAAATGCAGTGGATATGGTCGCCTCTCTCGCCCGTGTGTCGGCAGAAGGTATAGCTACCTTTCCCATTTATTTGTAGGCAGCGCGGACCACAAGTAAAGACAGAGTGTATCATTTTATACATCTACATGATTTGTAGTTGTTGTTGTTGTTGTTGTTGTTGTTGTTGTTGTCTTCACATTCAAAACCGTTCCGATCTCTCTCTATCTACCCAGTACCTTCGTATGTCCGTACTGACCCAACACTCGACGCCGTCGATTCCCGTGGTCGCAGGTTGACTTACCCTAAAAAGGTACACTCAAATAAAATTGCCCCGAGGAGTCCGCAAGTCAATAGAAATCAACGACAGATATTCTGGATGGAGTCCTCCATTCCCTCTGCGCACTATTATACTAGGTAACAACTGAGACTAGGAGTCACCATCACGGGCCGGAGAGAATGAGGTACACCCCCTTGGTTCAATCTTGGTACATAACAACGCAAGCAGAGACAAGGCCATCTGGCACAGAAAAAGAGATAAAGGGAGAAAAAGACAAAAGGGGAAGAAAAGTATGTGGAAAGAGAGGAATGAGAGGTTGTTCTAGCTTACAAGCAGTTTTGACGGTGTTGTGTATGGGTAGGGGGAGTACTCCCTGTGTCCGCGTTGTTCCCAGATGTTGTCGCATCAAGTGGCAGCATGTGTCATGGACAGGTAGACGTGGAAGGGCGGCGACAGGTGAACCGCAGCAGCAGTATGTTGTGCATGGTGGCATGTTGGGCTTGTACAAAGACGCAGTCCATCTTGGACCACACACGAAGGAGTTTGTTCCTACCTGTCGGAGTTTTGGACGGCCCAAGTCAGTTGCAAGCAGCAGTAGGAAGGAGCGAACAGGCGCAGTGCTTCTCTACAGCTAGCTTTAGAATCCGTCCTCCTCAAATCCTAACGGAGATGATTACGTATCGCACAACGGCTGGATCCGAATTGCCGGCTAGCTCCGAAAACCAGGAGAGGTGGGGGATTAGCTCAGACGAATGGCTGCGTGCGCGCTCCTTTATGTGCATGCTTGGCTGACTCTTTGAAGTGCATACTTGGCTGACTCTTTGAAGGGTAGAATTCTGTTTAGTTAGGCGTCATTTCGGCATTTCCAGTATTTGCCATTGTCACCTGGATGCATGGGAATTTCGGCGAGGATGTCGGTCATAAGTTTCTCACTCTACTTGCAAGGGACACGTTTCATTTTCAGTGTTCCCCCTTTTCGTGGCATGTCCATCTTACGGGCACGGATGCGGTGGGTTTAGGGTAAAAACAAATCGTTAGGAACATCTGGGCCGAGGGTCCAACGATAGTTGGGGATATTTTTCGTATGGGAATCGGGCCCGGATGTTGCCGGCGGATTGTTGTTCGTTTTGATCGAACACACCGAAATCGGGGGGTCACACCGCATCCATCCCGAGCGGCACCCGAGCGTGGCGTGTGTGTGCACGAGCTTTCCAGCACCCAGCACAGACTGGACCGAGTGCGCGATGGAGCATGCGAGTGCGGCCGACGACAGCGGCAGCGACGACGAACGACATGCCCACCTACTTGTTCTTCTTGCAGCAGCAGCGAAGCAGAGACGTCGCGAGCGGCAACAACGCGCTGTGCTTACTGGGCGACCCGGCGAGTTGTCCCGCGGTCCTTCCCAGATGGCGACGAGTTGGAGGACGAAGGCCTTGGCGGTGGCTCCCCCGTGAAGCGTACCCGCCGAGTTCTTCCACGGCCGCGCCTCATTTTGGTGGCGCATGCTGGGCGAGACGGGCCTCAAGGAATAAGCGTCAAGAGAGGCCACGCTTTTTCGGAGGCGCTGCCGCATCCCCTACCAGTTCTTCACCGAGCTCATGGAGCTGGTCAAGAAGTAGAAGTGGTTCCCCATGCGCAAGAAAGATGTGGCCGAGCGCATGTGCATCCCAGTCGAGCTGAAGGTGATGTATTATTGAGGCGTATGGATGCCCTCTACTCTGGGTGGTGAGCGGAGAGTTGAGCGGATAGTCCGGGGTTGGTTATGGTTGCTATGTCCTGCCACCGGAGTTTGGCTATTTCCTTTGGTGCAATGTGGCGAGGAATGCCAAGCGTGACCGAGCGAACTCAGTCAAGCTGGGGTGGTGCGGAGAGTGGGCGAGCCTTCGTGGACTTCTTTTCCCATTCTCCTAAAGATCCATCAACTCTTCGCAGCCGTTGGGGGTCATAAGGGGACCCTCGGAGAACAGTAATCTATTATCACTTATTCCCTCAGATCCTACTCTTTATGGACGTGTAACTCTCTCCGCCTCCCCCCTCCTCCCCTCCCCGGGGGAGGCCGAGGCCCGCAAGTGCAGTTANTGTGACCACGGAAATTGGCCGAGTCAAGTGATGGATTAGTACGGAGAGATTGAGACAGAAGGAGGTACTGGATAGAGAGACCGGGATGGTTTTTAATGTGAAGACAACAACAACAACATCTGTGCTCCCTGAATCTCCATATCCTGACCTCCACAGACGTGCCGATTCCAAAACTGGCATGCATGCATCCATCCACTATTATATGCATTTTTGTGTGCACACTGAGAACAAGGACAATGTATGGTCTACACACGCACGCACGTAGTATGTGAAATAATACAGAGTGGCGCGACTGGGTGTCGTAGGAGAGCAAGGGCAACGCAAGTATGGTCTACACATAGTCTACATCCATGAACGAAGAGTGCAGCAGTACAGAGTCGTACCGTAGACCGCAGGGCTTGTGCCAAAGATGAGAAAAACGTGGTGTACACCTAAATAGTCTACAGAAGCTGCTGCAGGTAGATTGTGGTAAATTATATTCGCCAAACCCCCCTCATGCCATTTTCTACGTCTATCGCCAGGGCTGCTGCTGCAGGAAGGTACTGCTGTGTTGCTCATGCCCCTTCCGGTATGCCATGTTCTCTAAGTAGTCGAAAATGCAGCGCCGCCGCAAATAACCTGACAACCGTCGATCAATTCCCGCCGACCGTACACCGCGCACGACGTCTATCTATGCGCACAGGTCTTGTCGTCCCTGCACATTTTGGGAAGGGGAAACTTATTCGAGTACATAAGCCAGGCTTCACACATGAGTGAGGGCGTTACACAGGCTAGCTTTCACAAGTTCACGAAGCTATTCGCCCAGGAGTTTTATCACGACCACGTGTGTATGCCCACTGGCGAGGACCAGGACAAGGTGACCTACACTTACTTCATGAAATGTCTGCCGCACTTCTTTTCTTCGTGCGACCACACTTGCTTTCCGCTGTATCCGTTGAAGACCATGCCGCACGTATTTCCTTGCGCAACCGGTCAACCCGGTGGTATAGTGGTATCCTCGTAAACCGCTAGTCGCAGAGGTCGTGCTAGACGCAGAGGTCTTGACTTCGAATCCCCATGGGGTGAAAAAAAAATTAAGTTTGCTGAGGACACTAGTCCCTGTCAGAGACAGAGGCCGGTGCTCTTGCAGTATTCTCCCACTGCCAAGGGTGGCTATTTCCTTTCGTGAGATGTAACGAGGAGAGAGGTAGAGAAAGAGAGTGACCAGAGGGTCGAGAGGGGCGAGCCGGAGACTCCCCCATCTCTTCCCTCGGCAAGCGGCCTTGGACTTCGGAAGAGACAAATCTCCTCGGTGCTTTACTTGCCACTTCTCCCGATGGCAAGTTACCCCGAGGAATCATATCTTCCTTACTTTGTGTGTGCACAAATGGTTGGTTATATATTCCGACAGGTGTCCTCCACATTGCGGGTGAAAGGGAAATATAGCTGAAAAGCTCTCGTGAGTGCCAACTTCGACGTTAGCACAGTTGACGAGGAAAGGGATGGCTGGTCCTTCTCGCGATAGAAATAAAATTCAGCACGCAACGCAGGAGGAAGGTGGGGCATTTTGACAAAACACATGGAAGAAATAAGTCCTGGGGTTTACCTCCTCCGGTGTGACCCTGGATGGTTGTAGTTGTACGAAAGAATTCTTCTACCCCAGTACATACAGTCCTACGCCCAGGCCCTCATCCAGGCCGGCTGCGAGGAAACCATCGAGGCCACCGTGCGCAAACGGAGGCTGTGTTTTGCGGGCTTCGTTATGCGCATGGAGGACAACCGCCTCCCCAAGCGCATGCTGCTGGGAGCGATGGCGGGGGGTACCGGATACCGGGGCGGGCAGGAGAGCGACTGGGTGTATCGCCTAGGAGAGGACCTCGTGGCGTTTGGCATGAAAGAGGAGAAGGAGNAGGCCGCGCTTGCGGCGAACGACGTACCCAACTGATGATGTTGTCGCACCCTGTGTTCCCTTTTCCCTGCCGTAAGCTGTATGCTCTTTTAGTATTGCCTCCGGCCTCTCTTTGTTGTGCTTTTTTTCTTCTTTCTTTCTTTCTTGTTCTCCATGCCCTCTCTACGATGATCTTGGACGATACCTCGAGCTCCTTGTTATTTTT